AACTTGCAACGATGGCGAATAGAAAAGAAGGCTTCCGTACCGGATGTCGTTTCGAGGCGCATCCCCGCACATGTGCGCAAAATGGCGGATTATTTGTGTTGTTTTCAGACGAGGTGTAAATTCTGCTGAAAAATGCAGGTACCGTCGACCAGTGTTCTCATTGCTTGTTGTTTTGTTAAAAGACATATACATCTTTGTAATCATAACACTATACACGACTGAAAGCTGTCTTACAACCGAAAATTCGATGTGTTATCGTAAGCAAACTGCGATCCATTGTCCTTAATACAGTTTTAGAGTGTGGTCTTCAAATGGGAATTTAATCAATTTAATTTGGTAACATCAGTCGTAAAAGTTTCAAAGTAAAGATAAACGTATCTGTGAATAGTGAAAGATAACTATTATTGCTCATTTAATACTAAATTTCACTTTATATTGAGTACTACGTATGACTGAACGTTCGTATCAAATGCGCCATGTGATAACCTGGACATTATTCAGATCATTACACTTAAGTTCCTGGAGTTGAATTTATTTGAGTGTAAAGATATTTTCTAGAAATGTGAATGAGTTTTTTTTAAAAAAAAAAAAAAAAAAAAACATTGTAGAGACTGGTATTTACATAATTCCTATTAAGAAACATTTGTTACTTAAATGGTTTAAATATGCGTTTGTTTGTATTTCACAGTGATGATGTATTGATGCCTTGTTAATGGTGTTGACGGTGAAAATCAATTCCTGAAATAATGATGCAGTGTTGTATCCAAGTGTGTGGATGTGCAAATCTGAGTGTGTCTTGTTTACTATATGTATTTTTAAAACTATTTTGTTTGTGTAAAAAAATAGTGTGAAAAATGAGAAAAAAGATGATTTGGGTAACTACATTATGCAAGCATAAGAAAAAGAAGAAACGTTAAAATGTACGCTATCGTGTGAGTTTTGATTGTGTCACAGAAAGTAGAGTTAATGCATGTCATTTAAAAGCTTGTGCTCTCCACAACGTTGCGCGTGCTCGTAAGCAAGTTAAGCAGAGAAATTTGTGTTTGCCGGAAGGAAAGTGTAATGATGACAAGAAGTTTGTTGACGCGACGTGAATTTGTTTATGAATTGCAGCGTGATAAAATGAAGACGTTGTGTTTACACAAGGTATTTTGAAACAGGTAGCTGTGAACTGAGTAATAATTTCGATATTGAAAAAAAGTTGTGTTTTTAAATGAATGCTGATTGATGTTTGGGGATGATTAGATACATGTTTTACATTTGTGTATGTCTGAAGGGTGATTTTCTCGGCTGGAGGCCGGGCGATTTATTACTTGTATTTATTTGTGGTTAATTGAAAAGCAAAGATGCAGAGGGATATCTGTGGTGGCAATTGATGAATTGAGTGTGAATTGAGTGAGTTACGATGAAAAAAGTAAAAAATGCGAAAAAAAAAAAAAAAAAGAGAATTTGACAAAAATGATCGTTGGTTAGATTTTTGTAAAAAAAATGAGAAAAATTTGTCGTTGGTTAGTTGTATGTGAAAAAATGAGAAAAAATTGTCGTTGGTTAGTTTTTTGTGGAAATGAGAAAAAATTAGTCGTCGGTTAGTTGTTTGTGAAAAATGAGAAAAAATTTGTCGTTGGTTAGTTTCTTGTGAAAAATTTGAATCATCAACTAACCAACGACATTTTAAATTTGCCTGTTTTTCATAAAATTTCTGATGTTTCCCACCCTTTTTCAGCTTTTTGCAATCACAGCACACCGCACTAACAATATTAATTGATATCAACAACCAGAAACCAAATTTTCGAAAACTGTTTGTCCCCTGCTTAAAATGTCGGCACTATATATGTACGATGTGGTGGTGTTGACGGCCATCATATCAGACCCAACTTTTTTCCTTCAAAGTCGCAAAATTTCAGTGTTTGCAGGCTAGGGCAGCACCTGCGAAGCTTTGGTAGTGATGGAATCTGAAAAATAAAAATTTCGAGATTTTACGAAAAAAATAGATGTTTGGATGGACGACTTGAAACTAACCAACGACAGATTTTCAAGCATTTTCCATCATTTGGTATTGTCGGAACTACACATGTAGATGCTGGTTGTCACGACTCGAAACGTTGAGTCTATGGTATCAAATGCTTGATCCACGATCTTCAGGTCGTTGGTGAAAAATCGTGCGAATCTCGCACCAGTCTGACAAAAGAGTGTATGCCCAAGAGCCTCGTCGGGTTCACTTGCATACCGAGTATCGGTAATCACGGTCTGGAGATCTGCGGTACGCGATTTCTAACACTCGAAAAGTTACAAGCAAACCGACAATTCCGTTGAAGGTCTGCACTGCTACACGGTAGCTAGACTTGCGATCTGTTCTGCACGCACAAATTTCAAGGCCAATGGAATTCGTGGTGCTGAAGTTGTCTCTCGAAATTTCCTATCGGGTAACAAGGAAATTCCATAGTCCCCTAGAGAGGGATATGAAAAAGAGTTGCAATCGCCGGTGTAAACTCGAGACTAC